TCAGTATGTCAGTCACTTAAGGATTTTATATATTAGTATAGATTTAATTTTGTAAGAGTCTCAATTTATTTTTCTTTGGTTCAGTGAAAAATAAATAGCCTTACTGGCGTACAGTAGTAAATTTAAATCTCTCGGGCGCCACCTCTGTTCTTTATAGTGGAAGAGGTCCACGTTTCGCCAATACGGGTAGCTTTTATACAGTGGAGATACCAGGGAGTGATGAAATGAAAAGAAATAAAACACACAGTTAACTATAACATAACATTAAGGCTTTATTTAATTAATTAACTATATGCTAAATACCCCAGGAAGTTTCACGACTTTAAATTGTAATGAAAGTGAAAGAAAATTTATAATTAATGACTCGTAAAATAAAATTTACAACAACAATCGAGCACCTCTAGAGTTTTGACCGTATAATCTCGATATGCAACTCACTGTCCGATTTAATCACGCGAATTCAAAGCGCGTTTTTGACATGACGTTCTAGTAAATAAAACGACGCGAGTTTCTAACCGGCGTCTAACTTAACGGCGCCGGCGTCCTAGTAAACACAGACATGTACGTACCGGAGCGATATACTCTTTTATAACCCGACTTTCTAAACGTCGGCGACGTCGTTACAGACGTCCCGGGATAAACAAACGCGAGCCCTGGATCGTTCGCAGTAGAACGAAACGGCGTCCTGTGGGATAATTACGCACCCGAGCCCTGAATCGTGCGCAGTAGAACGAGACGGCGTCCTGTGGGATAGATACGCACGCGAGCCCTGGATCGTTCGCAGTAGAACGAAACGGCGTCCTGTGGGATAGATACGCACGCGAGTCCTGGATCGTTCGCAGTAGAACGAAACGGAGTCCTGTGGGATAGGTACGCACGCGAGCCCTGGATCGTTCGCAGTAGAACGAAACGGCGTCTCGGTTAGTCGTCTGGATAAGCACAGTCCACACCGCCCGGTCAGGACCACCTCGGGATGTCGGCGAGATCCCACGGCGCTCCTGATGAGAATACGGGAACTACAGAACCAGTCTCGGGATGGACGAGATCCTGCCTTAGCTCCAAGGATATTCGCGCCCGTATATTTGTTGTACTACCTTAACCGCTATCTGTCTCCCTTTTAACCAAAAGAAATCGGCCTTCGCGTCCACGGGATCCGGACAAAATGCCTCAACCTTGCATGTATTTTTACTTCTATAGTAGGACAGTTGACACCTTGAGCGGATACAAGTCTGGTTAAATTTTACGTACGCGCGTTTCGGACCAAGATGCCTCTACCTTGCACGTATTTTTACTTCTACAGTAGGACACGAGACACCTGGAGCGAATTTAACTATCTCTATCTCCCTTATTCTATAACGCGTTAAGGCAGTAAAACAAACCGTATTAACAATAAAAAGAAAACGACCTACTCTCGATCACTTTGGCGGCTGGACTTACCTTTTTCAGAGCGGCAACGGCGGCTGGCAGCAGGGTACTTGGCAGAGCACTCCGGACTCGAACTTCACTGTTCACGTGCGATCACATCACTGACTACCTGGCGCTCTCGCTGCCAGGGTATACTCAAACGACCCTCCCCTCCACTCGACCGGTACTGGTAGGGCCAGCTTCTCGGCTGGGGAGAACCACATCTGTCCTAATGAGCATCTGTCCTACCAGTTGTTCGGGTAGAGTCGTCCACCCGAACGCGTCCCGAACGTTTAAAACAGCGTTGTCAGGTTGTCGCATTTTCAAGAAGCAATTAACAAAATTTTCTGTATCGGAAAAAGAGTGTAAGGTATTTATATTATGTAAATATAAAATAAAAATAGACTAGAGACTTAATTAAGACTTTATTGACATATTTAATAAATAATTACAAGGTTTTATCTAAATTATTTTTCTTGTGTGTTTGGTTGCCTATACCTAATTCTAAAATAGTTTATATTATGCATTGTTTTGTTTTTTTATTCTCACAAATAAGAAATAAATGTTTTATAGTTTATATTATAAAAAATCAATGATTATACATTTTATTTACACCCCTTACACTGTTTTGTGTACTACCAAGAGTATATTTCGTGACCTCTTATGATAAATGGGCACAAATAGTTTTATTACTTAATGCTTAGATTAAAATATTTAATCTATGATTAAAATTTAATAATATATTTGTACATTAAATATAATAGACTAGAGGCCCAATTAAGAGTTTACTGACATAATTACTAAAGTTCATCTAAAGTTACAAGATTTTTTTATATGTATTTTTGGTTGCCTATGACAGGCGAGGGCAGGCGTTTATTTAACTCACAAATAAATGTTTTATGGTTTTTATTATAAAACAAGGATTAATTTATTATACACCCCTTACACCTTCACAAAGATTCCAAGGGGAATATGTCGTGACCTCTTATATTAAAATGGACAAGGTTTATTAGTCAATGTTTTAGTTACCCATCAGCGTCTTTAATAAAAATCTAATGTATTCTATCTAGTGTATTTTTCATAGAAATGATCTGACATCATAAAAAGCAAATTTTATCAAAAAACTTTTTGATTATCTATATTGTTTAACTTGTAGTTTAACCTAACTTGCACATAATTTTTTAATTTAAAAGCAATAATTTTTTTTCTTGACAATATGGTGAACTTTAATATAACTAAACTCACTTTATAACTTAATTTTTGTAATATTCGTTTTTTAGCAATTAGAGTAAAAATTAATTAGGATACAATTTCTAATTTGAAAGATATATGAAATTTCATCAGTTTTTCCAATTAAATAAATATACAGGTTTTCTAAAAATATCTAATTTACTTATTATTTTGACATATCTACTAACTTTAATTTTTTTTGTTTTTAGGTATTTATGTTCTTTTTTAAAAATAAATTAAGAATGATTCAGAACCACGGATGTGTGTTCAGAACTGACTCCTTTCGGCCCAATTTAATTAGATATGTTATAAAACTTACAAATAAATGATTTTTTTTTCAAACGCAACAAAAGTATTAATTTTGGCGACGTGATTGATAAAATAAAAGTAATTTTAATGCCTAGGCATAAAAATAAAGCACTTTTACGCATAAGCACAAAAGTACGAAAATATATTATTAAACTGATATAAAGTGTCAAATTCAACGAGTGTAACCATAGTTTCTCGATATAAGCACCGTATGATCGAATAAAAACGGCCTCAGCGATCGCTATGAAATGAAGATCGCTGTCATTTTATATGTAAATTTATATGGGAAATGTCATCGATTGTCATTTCATAGCCATCGCTGACGCCGTTTTTATTCGATCATACGGTATAATTAGTTACAAGGTATTACTTTTAAATCTTGTTATATTATTTGCAAAGTTTGAAATTGTTTAAAAAAAATATTTGTGACGTTTGAAAAAAATAGCATGTCCTATTCGGAGTAAAAATGACGGTTTGTGCCTATGGCCTGTAATGAAATAAATTATTTTATAATATGAAAAATTGTTTACCTTTTTTATTTTTTATAGATTATTGTCAAAAAAGTGATTGGGTGCAGTATTAGTAATAAGAATAATACACAATGGTCACAGTGGCCGGCTATGAAATAATGATTGCTGTCATTTTATATTTAAAATTATATGGGGAATGTCATCGATAATCATTAACAAGCTAACTGGACGCCGTTTTTTTTCGATCATACAGTACTATACAATTGAAAAAAAATTGCTGCTCTTCCAGCTGTTTTTTTTTTGATTTTACAGTATTTATATATATTTATATGTAATTTGTTTTAATCAACTTTACATATTACGGTTTTTATGAATTCCTTTGCTCACATATTTTGTTCTTATTATTTTACCGGTTTTGTCTCAAGGCACTCAGGCAAGAAATACCTAATTATTAATGTTAAATTATTATTAACTACTTTTAGGGGTCGTTACAGGTAGTCTTTGCTATACACAGAATAACTAATTAACTAGTTACTTTACTACGAATAAGCTCTCCATAGTCTTTACTTTCACTCTCATTAACATAATTGGAATAAAGTGAAAAAGAAATTTCTGTAAATTTCAGAATTTTCCCTTTTTATTATTTTCTTGACAATTTGGAGATCTTTTTTTATAAAGTACTTTTTTATAACTTTATACCGTAATTTTGTAATTTTAATAAATAAAATGTTTTTTAGCAATACAGAGTATTGCAACCACAGCTGCAACTTTAAGATAGATATTTTTTTCTGGTTATATTTGAAAAATTAATTCAGATCGATACATTTTTTTAGTTTGAAAAATATTTGAAATTCTATCAGCTTTTGCAATTTAAAATACAGGTTTTCTAAAAATACCTTAACTTATTATTTTGACATACTAACTTAAATCATTTTTGCTTTTAGGTATACTCGTTCTTTTTTAAAAATAAATTCATATTGATTCTCAGACTGATTAAAAATATTTTAATCTAGAAAGATAATAATACAAATAAATATACTTAAAAAAATATTTATTACATAGAATAGGTATACTAGAGTTGGCATTTCAGGCCTTGGGTGCCGATTTTTGTGTGTATGAAGAGTACGGTCAACACGCTTAGTAAAATAAGATGTGTACTATTTGTATTTGGCAGAATAAGTTGTGGATTTTGTTTCTGAAAACAATAAATTTATTATATTACGACTTTGCTGCACACATGTATGGATAATTTATTTACCTTTATGCTTTAATGTTCAGACTTTACTGTAGTTTACGCTGCATCATTCTAAATTGTTCCCGAAGGGTATCCTGAAGACTTTATACATTTGTCCTACGTCAGATATTTTTCTGTAATCTTATATCATTGTCCTGACAAGATCTTCTAAATAAAGTATTCGAAAATACCCATGTTCTGTCTAAGCAGGTTTTTTTATCCTAGAGCTTAATATTCAATAAATCTACAAAATAAATGAGTTAACGAGGTTATAAATAGAAAACAAAAATAAATGCCTTTATAGGATCAGTCCTCTTAAATGTGCTATGTGATACACGATTGATACGATTTTCATGTATATGAAGAGTATGGCCAATATGCTTATTACAATCAGATGTATTGAACTTGGTATTGAATGCATAGGAAATCATCAGATTAAGTGTGGTTATGTAATAAATATTTTATATTTTTCTATCTCCGACCAGATCACCATAGCGATTCACACCTACACGCGTAAACACCAACCTAAGGCTTGCCGATATGTCCTTGTGCTAGAAGTATAATCAAAGAATATTATAGTTTTAAGAACTCTCGTGTGGAAGCTTTAGTGATTTGTCATACGGTGGCGCTTTTGAACATAATCGAAGCCTGAAAATGCTAATATTTTAAATTTTGAGGACTACGCGCGGCGATATTTCGTACGGTGTTGCCAAACATATTTTATTTCTCGATATTTAAAGAAAGTTCAACACGTATTGATTATATATTTCGTATATTCGATAGTACATGAGGCATCCTAAGGCTATGAAAAAAAAACGTAGCTATGAAAATAAAATTTTAGATTTTTAATTTTTTTGTACCTTCTAATAAAAATTACTTCTATTCCAATAAAAAATTAACTAGTATGATTATGTGTTATCTGTGTTAGTATTAGGAAACTGGAGTAAATACGGAGAATATTAATTCGTTCTCTAAGATGAGCACTACTAAGTAACTTTTTAAAATTCGACCCATAAGGGGGTGTTATTAGATAAAGGGACGTAATTATACATAAAAAATCTGTACCTACTAGGAGTATGAACTTTTGCACAGATGTGGCGCATTTGAACATTGATAAGCGATTTTTGGAAATGTATAGCCTAAGGGTAGTGAAACTGGGGGGTGAAATTTTGTACAAAAAGTGTTAGTTCTAGGAGTATGAAATTTTGTACAGAGTTTCCTTAAGTGACGAAAGTGAGTACCTAGAAGCTAATTTTTGACATTCATCCCTTAGAAATAAGGGATGAAAATTTGTACAAAAGGTTAAAATCGGTTTTAGAAGTTTGAATGTTGCAGACGTTCCTTATGTAACGTAATTTAGCATTAAGAAGCAATTTTTGGAAATTCGCCCTCTAAGGGTGTGAAATGAGGGGTTGAACGTTCTGGAACAATAAATTCTGTTCAAGGAATATGAGAATTTGCACAGAGGTTCCTTATGTAGCGTAATTGAATAATTAGAGTGATTTTTGGAATTCATTCCTTAAGGGGGTAAAACTAGGGGTGAAAATTTGTATAATTTTTTATGTAAAATCCGTTCTAGGACTAGGAGTATGAAATTCTGTTAGAGGTCCCTTAAATGATGAAAGTGAGTACCTAGAAGCGAATTTTAGGCATGCATCCCCTAAAAAATAAGGGATGAAAATTTGTACAAAAAATTTGTTAAAATCGGTTGTAGAAGTATGAATTTTGCAGACGTTCCTTATGTAACGTAATTTAGCACTAAAGAAGCAATTTTTGGAAATTCGCCCTCTAAGGGTGTGAAATGAGGGGTTGAACGTTCTGGAACAATAAATTCTGTTCAAGGAATATGAGAATTTGCACAGAGGTTTCTTATGTAGCGTAATTGAATAATTAGAGTGATTTTTGGAATTCATTCCTTAAGGGAGTAAAACTAGGGGTGAAAATTTGTATAATTTTTTATGTAAAATCCGTTCTAGGACTAGGAGTATGAAATTCTGTTCAGAGGTCCCTTAAATGATGAAAGTGAGTACCTAGAAGCGAATTTTAGGCATGCATCCCCTAAAAAATAAGGGATGAAAATTTGTACAAAAATTTGTTAAAATCGGTTGTAGAAGTATGAATTTTGCAGACGTTCCTTATGTAACGTAATTTAGCATTAAGAAGCAATTTTTGGAAATTCCCCCTCTAAGGGTGTGAAATGAAGGGTTGAACGTTCTGGAACAATAAATTCTGTTCAAGGAATATGATGATGATTATATATGATGATTTGCACAGAGGTTTATTATGTAGCGTAATTGAATAATTACAGCGATTTTTGGAATTCATTCCTTAAGGGGGTAAAACTAAGGGTAAAAATTTGTATAATTTTTATGTAAAATCGGTTCTAGAACTAGGAGTATGCAATTTTGTACAGAGGTCCCTTAAGTGATGAAAGTGTGTACCCAGAAGAAAATTTTGGACATGCACCCCCTAAAAAATAAGCACTCCCTATAAAACAATTAAAATAAAAATTTGTCTAAAAAATAAAAAAAAAGTTGGGGTGGGCCACTCTTATCACTTAGTGGTATAAAAAATAGATAACAACCTAGGAATAGGTTGTGACCAAACCAAACCAGACCTACTGAATATACATATAAAATTTTATCAAAATCGGTCTAGCCGTTTCGGAGATGGTAACAAAAAATTAAAAAAAAACAACCCCTATTAAAATATAGGGGATGATGGTGGAACGGTGAAAATTTAGGGTTATTTGTATTTATTAATGCCAACTAAAAAAATAAAAACATTTTTTTCTTTTCAAAAAATAAAAAAATGAGGGTGGGCTACCCTTACCACATAAGGGTATAAAAAATAGATAACAACCTATTCTTAGACGTACTGAATATACATATAAAATTTTATCAAAATCGGTCAAAGCCGTTTCACGGATGGTAACAAAAAATTAAAAAAACAACCCCTATTAAAAAATAGGGGGATGATGGTAGAACGGTGAAAATTTTGGGTTCTTTGTATTTTTTAATGCAAAATAAAAAAATAAAAATATATATTTTTTCAAAATATAAAAAAATGGGAATGGGCTACCCTTATCACTTAAGGGTATAAAAAATAGATAACAAACTATTTTCAGACCTACTCAATATACATAATAAAATTTCATCAAAATCGGCAAAACCGTTTCGGAGATGGTATCAAAAAAACAACCCCTATTAGAAAATAGGGGATGATGGTAGAACGGTGAAAATTTAGAGTTGTTTGTATTTTTTTAAGGCCAAATAAAAAAAATATTTTTTTTTCAAAAATAAAAAAAATGAGGGTAGGCTACCCTCTCGGCTACCTTTATCACTTAAGGGTATAAGCATAGATAACAACCTATTCTTAGATGTACTGAATATACATACATATAAAATTTTATCAAAATCGGTCAATCGGAGATGGTAACAAAAAACTTAAAAAAACAACCCCTATTAAAAAATAGGGGATGATGGTAGAACGGTGAAAATTTAGGGTTGTTTGTATTTTTTAATGCCAAATAATAAAAATTAAAATAATTTTTTTTTTCAAAAAATAAAAAAATGGGGGTGGGCTACCCTTACCATTTAAGGGTATAAAAAATAGACAACAAACTATTTTCAGACCTACTCAATATACATAATAAAATGTCATCAAAATCGGCCAAGCCGTTTCGGAGATGGTATCAAAAAAACAACCCCTATTAGAAAATAGGGGATGATGGTAGAACGGTGAAAATTTAGAGTTGTTTGTATTTTTAAGGCCAAATAAAAAAAATATTTTTTTTCCAAAAATAAAAAAATGAGGGTGGGCTACCCTCTCGGCTACCCTTATCACTTAAGGGTATAAGAATAGATAACAACCTATTCTTAGACGTACTGAATATACAAATAAAATTTTATCAAAATCGGTTAAGCCGTTTCGGAGATGGTAACAAAAAATCTTAAAAACAACCCTTGTTAAAAATAGGGGATGATGGTAGAACGGTGAAAATTTAGGTTTGTTTGTATTTTTAATGACAAATAAAAAATTAAAAATTTTTTTTTCAAAAAGTAAAAAAAAATGGGGGTGGGCTACCCTTATCACTTAATGGTATAAAAACAGATAACAACGTATTCTCAGACCTACTGAATATACATATAAAATTTCATCAAAATCGATCAAGCCGTTTCGGAGATGGTAACAAAAAATTAAAAAAAAAACATCCCCTATTAAAAAATAGGGGATGATGGTAGAACGGTGAAAACTTAGGGTTGTTTGTATTTTTTAATGCCAAATAAAAAAAATAAAAATATTTTTTTTAAATAAAAAAAATGGGGGTGGGCTACCCTTATCACTTAAGGGTATAAAAAATATATAACAACCTGTTTTCAGACCTACTCAATATACTTATAAAATTTCATCAAAATCGGCTAAGCCGTTTCGGAGATGGCAACAAAAGAAAATAAAAAACAACCCCTATTAGAAAATAGGGGATGATGGTAGAACGGTGAAAATTTAGAGTTGTTTGTATTTTTAAGGCCAAATAAAAAAATAAAAAATATTTTTTTTTCCAAAAATAAAAAAATGAGGGTGGGCTACCCTCTCGGCTACCCTTATCAGTTAAGGGTATAAAATAGATAACAACTTATTCTTAGACGTACTGAATATACATATAAAATTTTATTAAAATCGGTTAAGCCGTTTCGGAGATGGTAACAAAAATTAAAAAAAACCCCCTATTAAAAAATAGGGGATGAAAGTAGAACGGTGAAAATTTAGTGTTGTTTGTATTTTTAATGCCAAATAAAAAAAAAAATTAAAATATTGTTTTTCACAAAATAAAAAAATGGGGTGGACTACCCTTATCATTTAAGGGTATAAAAAATATATAACTACCTATTCTCAGACCTACTGAATATACATATAAAATTTCATCAAAATCGGTTAAGCCGTTTCGGAGGACTACGGTAACCAAAACTGTAACACGGGAATTATGTAAGATAATATTATATGTAAACTGGCGGAGTGTGGAGAACGGAAAGACTGATTATAGCAATAGATAAAATTTAAAAACTATAATTTAAAACTATTCAAGAAAGTACACACAAAACAAGGCAACGCCGCGCGTCTATTCGTTCAATTCCGAGCAAAATAGCGAGGCTCCACGAAGTTGGGGCCTCGCTCGCCAAAGCGAGGCCCCATCGACAGGTCAGATTTTGAGGCCAGACGAGACTTCTAGGGTATTAAGATATTCTTTGGTATAATATAAAGGTCTGTGGTCTAGGAAGGCTGACACTTATGTCTCATATAATCGAAAAAACGGCGTCCAGTTGGCTTGGAAATGACGATCCTTGACATTCCCTATATAATTTTACATATAAAAGACACCGATCTTCATTTCATAGCCATCACTGACGCCGTTTTTTTTTCGATCATATTGTACCTACCACATGGTACATACCTACCTATCTCATATATCATATGCCTTATGGTTTTAAAGATGATAAATTGTCTTTTGTATTATGCGTATAGCTGTAATTCAAAAGAAATACATTTCGTAAAATACCACAATGAAGTGAATACCACAATGAAGTGAATAGATTCATAATAAAATACTTACTAGTTTGCTTTTCCAGTTTAACGGTACTTATTTATCAGTTTTTAATCAGTTTTCCTTTGAGTTTCAGATTTCTTAACCTTAAAATTTTCACTCTTTTAAACCATCTCATTTTTGCTCATATTTTTATAATTACTTATTATGCCTAATACATGCCCGTGCTGTTTCCTGAAGAATGAATTTTTGTAAGCTACGATCTTGCAATTAAAACAATATCACATACCTGGAACCTGAAAGGACATCATGTGGGAAAAATAATTAAGAACATTTTTTCCGCAAATCACGGCTAATTTATTTTCAGGAATTTGTGGATAGCTTAATATTTTCTAAAAATTGTTAATCGTTTTACAGCTTTTGTTTGAATACATATTATCTAGATACACACCTGAGATTTCAACCCATGTAGACGTATTCTTATATAAAAAACACATTATCAAAGGTAATCGTGTTGCTATCACTTTCATTTTGTTTATGCTTTATTTGTAAATATTTCCGGATTATTTTATATCAGGTTCTATTACATTATTCATAACATTATTCGTCAATGTTCATAAAATTATAATTTTAAACTTTTTCTGAGGTTAATCTTGTCAAATTCCAAAACAAAACAAGATTGAAAAGTATGCGACGTTGACAGATTTAGTACGTTAGCCAGGACAAAATTCCTGAAACAGGAATTTTTAGGACTACCGAACATGCCCGAAGTGACGTTCGGTTGGTAGGACAAATACCCCGTAGGACGAATACCGCCACCTCCTCGGCTGCCGTACCGAACTATAGCGAGTAACGCCGATCAAAACTCTATTACAATATGGTCATTAAATATCTAACGCATTTAATTCAACAGTAAGAACATTAATGAAGTTCATTACCATAATGAGTTAACAATAAAATACATTGCCTAACCTTGTTTACAGAAAAGGTCCCTATTATTTAAGTACAGTATACGGGGTGTCCCAGAAATGAGCCCCAAAATTTATGAACTTCATTACAATTTATACAAAATAAACGTATGTTTGAAATTATTTATGGTTTTATATAGTCCGGGTGCAAAAACATGCAAGAATTTTCTGAAGGCTCATATATTTTCAAAATCGATTTCATTTTAGTGTTAAGAAGCAAAGGTACCGTTAGCAGTTCCCGTTCCGGGACACATGACGCTGAAAAGCGCGCAAGGGTGTAATTTTAATTACCACTTCCAAACTGTTTTTTGAAGGCTTAAAATTTGTAGATAACATTCGAATGCAATGTAAAACAAAAAAATAACAGTCAGACAGAGCAGTTTGGGGACGCAACGCCTTAGCGCTACCTCAAACGCGCTGTCTTAAAAAAATTGTCACTCATAGTGATATCTGAAGGCTGAAACTTTGCAAGGTAATACTGAAAACAATATATTTATTAATAAAAATAGTCAGACTCGTCGATAATAGAACCCCGCCAGTCAGCAGCTGATGGAAGTGAGAATAGTAACAGAGCTCGTATAGGCGGCTCTGATGTTAATATTTGATGGTATAAAATGTAACGTAAAAATATCGTCACACGCTGAATTATATATTTACATTTTTCCTTTTATCTTATTGCTGCATGAGCACGTGTCTCTGTGCCCTTTAGGGCCAGCTGCCAATGGATTATATTATAAAATTGCCGATTTAATTTAAAAATAAACTAAAATAAGAAAATATAATACTCGAATTTTAAATAACCAGTGATTTAATTAAATTCTACAATTTATGTTCATATTTTATGTTTAATGATCAATTAGTGGTTGACTAGTCTGCATAATTTTTCTGAACTTGACCTCCCTTTCATCGTGTAATTTTAAACTTGCTCTTTAATTTTATTGTTTTGAGAACGTAAATCTACAGAAATATCGGATTTAATTCTTTAAATTGAAATTAATAAAAGAATAAATTTTGTAAAAGCTTTGTACTATATTTATAATAATCAATGAATAATATTTCTACGAGTATATTAAGTATCATTAAGTAATTACTAAAGTTATTGACAGTGGTAGTAGTAGCTAATCTTTTTTAGAGCCATATTGATGTCATTGTTAAACCCCTGTTGAATTAAGTTTTACAATTATAATTAATATAAAACAAGCTCTTTATACAGTATGTTCCCGTATTGTCTTGTTATAAAATAGTTAAATTTCCTTACCGTTATTTTAAATTCCAGAGTGTTTTTAAATTTAAAATATTAATCGCTTGAAACTCGAGTACTCGATTATTGAAATAAATCGTTTTTTCCAATCACTACAAAAAATATGGTTTTATTAAAATTTAAAAATAACTTAAATACGAGATATATTTCGTATATTTATTCTAAACACGAAACTTATCCTGGCTTTGATTATTTTCATTATTAAAAATTTTGTTTAAGAACCGAAATGTTGAAAGGGTTCTTTAAAAAGTTTAAATTAGGACCGCTTTTTAATCGCCTTCTTAATATCTCTGAACTTGACCTTTCCTAAGTAATTTAAAACTTGGCTTTAACTTTATGTCTTCAATAAAAACTATTAATGACTCAGGTTTCATTGTTAAATTAATAAAACATCCAATTTCATAAAATGCCTTTTCCTATTTATAATTCATATTTAACAAGCAAGTCGAGTAACAACAACTTTAGTCAGAGCATTACTATGTAATTGCTGAAGTAGTTATTAACATTGACAGTGTTGTAAATCCTATCCTTGTTGAAAACTACATTATACCGGGTGCGTCTCAAAAGCTCATAATACACTATATAACTTTATTTTTTCAAAAAAAATGGACTTTCATCGTTTTTCCCGAGTGCTCGTCAAATGATATTTCATTATATTCAGAGTGTCATTTCCTATCGAATAATGTAAAAAAAAAACCCAGAGTGCCATTTGAAAATCAAAAGTCGTAGTCATTTCCGGTGAAACAGGAAGTGGTCGAAAAGAATTGAATACGTCAATCAGTCCTAATTTATGTCATATACTAACATACCAAATCTCGTTTTTTTTATCTGAAAAAATAAAAAAGTTAAAGGGGGTGACCCATTTTTAAAACGCACCCGGTATTAATATAATTGGTTTACAAATAAAAAAATGATATTTTTTAAATTACTTGAATTTATAAAAAACTTCAAAAGAGAGCAGTGCGATATTTATTGGGACTGATCAGTAGAACTCGCTGCCAGAATTTCTTTAAAAATTTCAAAATCTTCTTTCTTTATTTATTTTTGAATCCGTTTGTTTAATCCGCAAGCAAACCTGCTATTCCCGAAAGGCCACCTCACAACTATACACTTAGGAATGTGGAGCACGATCTTTATCTGCCAACCCCGAGCTCAGAACTAGTTAAAGCCTCAATACAGTACAATGCCAAAAAATATACAATCATCTGCCTTTAGATATCAAGTCGCTTTCATTCTTTCCCGCATTTTGCAAAGCTCTGAAATCATACCTATTGGAGAGAGCCCTATATGCGGTAAACGACTTTTTTGTTAATATTTGATGTTGAACAATTTTGAATTTTAAAATTTTGATCATCTCACATCTCACACACTGGTTAAAAGTCTAGTATTTAATATTTTATAACTCTTAAATGCTTATTCCTATTGTAAAATTTTATTGATACGTCTTTTTTTTGTGTTTTGCAATATCTATGCATGTTGTATTTGTAATTTTAGTGACGTAATTCTTTTTGAATTGTATGATTTGTATTGTATGATATTTTTTTATTATTTGTATATTTTTTGTGCTTTTGTTTGTTTTTTAATGCTTTGTCGGTGAAGCTATTTTGGCTTTTTGTACAATAAAGCGTTATTTATTTATTTATTTATTTATTATTGCTATTATAGGGTATAGTCAATTTAAACTTAAAAAAGATAGTAAATTGATTCCAAATTGCAACATACATTCCTGCTTTACAATTTCCTGTTAAATGTTTTCATATTATATCAGTAATATACTTTTATTTGGACTTAACTTCAACTTCAACTTATTTGGACTTAAATTATTTTGCTTTATTCATTTTGGCATAAATAGGGACTTAATATACACACAACCAAACGTATATGGAATCACTCTTTATTTCTGACTAAATTTCTTGCAAGGATAAAAATTGGTATACGACCTTAAATAAGGCTTTTTGTTGTAAATAAACATGATAATAAAGAATAAACGACTGCTGCGATTTATTTTCTTTGAATTTTTTGTTCAGTAATAAAATCACGATTGTCGGGTAATTTTCAATCGACCCAAAAAAAATAAAAAATGCCTTATGTTGGATTAACAGATGTATAGAGGGGAAGAATTATTGCTCTCACCGAAAAAAGGAATGCTCCAAAGAGACGTAGCAGAGATAGTAAGCGTTACCCAGGGTGTTGTATCGAAAACATATGCTATATATACTTGAAATTAGGAACACACAAGGATAGGCCCAGACAAAATATTCAAAGAGTCACAACTGAACAACAAGACGATCTTGTGGGCCAAATTGCTAGAATAAATCCCAGTGTTTCTCATCTAGAGCTACAAAGACAACTTCTGGAAGCTACAGGTGTGAACGTTTTAGTTGAAACCATAACAAAAAGGAGTATAAGGAGTAAAAGGGAGTAAAAGGGATTTTACAGTAGGAGAGACTTCCACAGTTATCTCGGCAAAATAAAATTGACCGACTAAATTGATGCCTTCAACATCAAAACTGGACAACTAAGAATTGGCAAAATGTTATTTTTTCGGATGAGACCAGAATTGGCCTAAATTCAGATAACCATCGAATTCGGGTTCTCAGAGCTCCAGAAAGACGAGCATGACTTCAGGCTGCCAAATCTGTACCAAGATATAAAGGAGGAACTGTAATGTTCTGGGGAGGTATTATACTGGGAGCAAAAAATCCATTGTTACCACTTCAACAAACTTTAACGGGTCGGAGATATGTTGACTTGGTACTAGGCCCAATCGTTAGTCTTTGGAGAGCTGCAATTGGTTATAATTTTAACTTCTTGTACGATAGTGCACCTCCCCGTACCAGCAGAATGACTAGAAAATGTCTTGAAACGGAAAGGGTCATAGTTTTGGACTGGCCTGCATGTTCACCAGATCTAAACCATATAGAACACTTGTGTGACTAGCTCAAAAGAAGGGTTAGAGCTCGTCGAAACAATCCAGGAAATCTTGCACAGCTTATTGATGCAGCATTAGCAGAATGGGAAAACATACCCCAAGACAACGTTGATAATTTAATAAGAAGCATGCCAGCGCGAATTGAAGCTTGCATCTTGCTAGAGGTGGCAACAAGGAATATTAAAATGATCAATTTTCTTTTTGTATTTGCCTTTTAGCCATTAAAAGTTTAAATCTTAATTTAGTTTCAGAGACCAAAAAAATACCATTTTGTTTATTTTGGGAACTGATTTTTTTTATTGCTATGTGGATAATTTTTCATTAAAAGTCATTGGTAAGGACTGAGTTTTATTCATAAAGACAAAATTTTCATACGTCTCAAAAATTATTAAAAATAATAGATTCCATATAAGTTTGATTGGATTCCAGATTTATTCTTCCCCAGTAATAAATCTACCATTCAATATTATTAAACAATGTTATTAGACAATGTTATTAAACAATGTTATTAAACAATGTTATTAAACAATGTTATTAAACAAACAATGTTATTAAAGAATGTTATTAAAAAATGTTATTAAACAATGTTATTAAACAAACAATGTTATTAAAGAATGTTATTAAAAAATGTTATTAAACAATGTTATTAAAAAATGTTATTAAACAATGTTATTAAAAAATGTTATTAAACAATGTTATTAAACAATGTTATTAAACACTAAAACTACTCAGGATTATTTAGTACGTAAAGAAAATTCTCTGCTATATAACGTATCGAAATAATTGGAACATCTCGATTTAGTAGCTACATATAATATGGACGTATAGTAGGGCACATAAAGCTCTGGTTTGGAGCTGTCCTGCCTGA